GAGATGGGGTTTCACCATGTTGACCAGGATGGTCTCGATCTCTTGACCTCGTGATCCACCCGCCTTGGCCTCCCAAAGTGCTGGGATTACAGGCTTGAGCCACCGCGCCCGGCTGGCTTCTTTCACTTAGCATAGTGTTTTCAATGTTGTAGTATGTATCAGTACTTCCTTTTCATTGTTGGATACCATTTCATTGTGTGGATATACCACATTTTATTTATACATTCGTCAGTTGATGGACCTTTATGCTGTTTCCAAATTGTAGCTGTTATGAATAATGCTAGTGTGAACATCCATGTGTAAGATTTTGTATGGACATCCGTTTTCTCTTGGGTATACACTTAGAAGTGGAATTTCGAGGTCATATAGTAACTTTATGTTCAACTTTTGAGAACTGTTTTCCAATGTTGCTGAGCCACTGGACATTCCCACCAGCAGTGTACGAGGTTCCAGTTACTCCACCACTCTGTCTTTTTGACCCTAGCCATCTTAGTGGGTATGAAGTGATATTTCATGGTGACTTAGATTTGTATTTTTGCAAACATCTTTTTTTTTGTTTTTTGAGACAGAGTCTCGCTCTGTCACCCTAGCTAGAATGCAATGGTGCCATCTCAGCTCACTGCAACCTCTGCCTCCTGGGTTCAAGTGATTCTCCTGCCTCAGCCTCCTGAGTAGCTGGGATTACAGGCGTGTACCACCATGCCTGGTTAATTTTTTTGTATTTTCAGTAGAGATGGGTTTCAGCACGTTGGCCAGGCTGTCTCAAACTCCTGACCTCAAGCGATTCGCCCACCTCGGCCTCCCAAAGAGCTGGGATTACAGGCGTGAGTCACCATGCCCAGATTGAACATCTTTGCATGTGCTTGTTGCCCATTTGTGTACTTTTGGAGAAATGTTTATTCAGATCCTTTGCCTATTTTTAAATTGGGTTGTCTTTTTATTGTTGAGTTGTAAGAGTTTGTAACAAATTCTAAATATAAGTCTTTTAACTGATACATGATTTACAAATATTTTATTCCATCCTATGGGTCCTCCTTCCTTTCTTTCTTTCTTCCTTTTTATTTTGAGACAGAATTTCACTCTTGTCCCCCAGGCTGGAGTGCAGTGGTGCGATCTTGGCTCACTGCAACTTCTGCCACCCAGGTTCAAGTGATTCTTCTGCCTCAGTCTCCCCAGTAGTTGAGATTACAGGTGCCTGCCACTGCGCCTGGCTAATTTTTGTAGTTTTAGTAGAGACAAGGTTTTACCGTCTTGGCCAGGCTGATCTTGAACTCTTGACCTCGTGATTCACCTGCCTTGGCCTCCCAAAGTGCTAGGATTACAGGGGTGAGCCACTGCACCTGGCCTTTTAAATTTTTTTTTAATATTTACTTATATTTATTTATTTATTTAAAGACAGGGTTTCACCATGTTGGTCAGCCTGGTCTTGAACTCCTGACCTCAGGTGATCTGCCTGCCTTGGCCTCCAAAGTTCTTGGATTACAGGTGTGAGCCACTACGCCCGGCCTTTTTTTTTTTTTTTTTTTAAATAGAGATGGGGTCTCGCTTTGTTGCCTAGGCTGATCTTGAACTCTTGGGCTCAAGCAATCCTCCTGGCTCAGACTCCCAAAGTGCTAGGATTACAGGCATGGGCCACCATGCCCAACCTATTTTTTTTTAAGGTCCTTTGAACCCCTAAAGTTTTAAATTTTGAAGAACAGTTTATCTGATTTTTTTTCTGCTTGTGCACTGTGTCATAGCTAAGAAACCACTGCCTAATCTAGGGTCACAAAGATGTACATCTATGTTTTCTTCTAAGAACTTAATAGTTTTATCTCTTACATGTAGGATTTTGATCCATTTTGAGTAAATTTTTGTCTGTGGTGTGAGATAACGGTCCAACTTCACTCTTTTGTATGTGCATATCCAGTTGTCTCAGCTTTAGTATGCCTTGTTACAGCTGAATAAATTTTCAGCTCCATTAAAAAAAGGGCCATGAGCCTGGCAAAGTTGCTTATGCCTGTAATCCCAGGACTTTGGGAGACCAAGGTGAGAGGATCACTTGAGCCCTGGAGTTCAAGACCAACCTGGGCATTAGAGTGACACCCTGTCTCTACTTAAAAAAGAAAAAGAAAGAAAAGAAAAAGGACTGTGCCTGGTTTTGCTGACCATCATCTTCCCAGGATTATCTTAGCCCCATGCAAGACACATGCAAGATGCTCAATAAATCCAGCCTTTGCGAATGAACATATGAGTGACCGAGACTCAGAGTGATTAAGTAACTTGCATAGGTCAGTCAGTTAGAAAGTGGCCAGACATGGCTC